CATCTCTTAATTTATTCCTTGAAAATTGCTTTCAATTTGAAAGCGGTTAACCTTTCTTAAGAACCTTTTTTTTATAATTGCTTTCAATTTGAAAGCGGTTAACCTTTCTTAAGAACCTTTTTTTTATAATTTTAATTTTTTATGCCTTAAATAAAGCTCATCGCGGAAAAAATAAAAACTTGAATTTAAATAATTCAAAACAAAAACGAAATATAAAGATTTATACAATTTTTTGGAGCGATAAAAATCTCGCCGGATAATCTCGTTGATTTACTAGTTAAGTGGATAAAGAATATTTGCTCTGAAGTGCTATCGGTTTCGGCTGTACAAATTTCTTCTTGAAATAATTTCATTGTAGTTTTATTCAGATTAAAAATGAATGGCGATTCATTTACTTTCAATTCTATTCCTTTTTTAGCATCCAAGCATTTAGATAATCGCACCTTAATAAGATTCTATTAAGATCTGAGAAATCGGCGAATGATCCAGTTTAAAGAGTTTCTCTTAATGAGCCTCTTAAAGAGTTTCCTTTATCCAATTTTGAATTTTTCTTCAATTTTTTACAATCAATTCATTTTTAATTTAAAAAAATGATAAATGTATGCAATTTTTTTTTTCATTAGAGAGTGGAAAAACGAATGGCTTTTATAACTATCAAACAACGATGGCATCAGATCGCGGAGCTTGGAAACGTCTTATCCTTGTAGCCAGTGAAACCACTCTAATCAGTAATAGTGAGAGCTATTAGAAAATATTTTTTCCGATAGCACTCACTATTTCTGGTTCCATGTTGATTGAAGTAAAATGTGAATCTTTGGCACCATTCGATAATATATATAAACATAAAATGGTGCATCGCCTCGTTATAAAATGTTATTATTTTGGTTAATGGTAGAAAAAAAAATCATTCTAACAAAAAGATTGAAAGCGCTGCTTTGATCCACTTTAATGATAATTTTTATTTCGTTCCAATAGCTTGAAAAATGGATTGGAATATTTTGCGAATTGTTATATGGTAAATCGAAATCTTTCTTGTATAATAATTTCCTAATGTGATGTTTCGGTTCTATTTCCGAATTCTTAATTGTGTCCACGACTATAGTTCCATTATTTAATGCCGCTTTACCAATGATAGTTATGACAAAACTGAAAATATCACAGCATTTAAGGAGCGAATCCATGATTATTATCCGACTTGTTGACTTTTCATATGATAAAAGCTTTATTAGTACAAAAGACCAATCTGTTCCTCTCACCTCACTTCTTTTCATCTCCTCGCACAACCATTACCGCTTTTAAATAAGCCTTTTAAAAATTGTGAAGAAATTTTTAAAACACTAAAATTTTTAAAACCAGCTGAAGCTCAAATATAAAAAAGATTCATTATCAACCTTTTAGAAATATCAGGTTTTTCATAGAATGGATCCGAATCAGTGCTGCACCTCGTTTTCTCTCGAAACTCATAAATAACTTCGGTTGATAGTTGCCGTTTTACTAATCCATTTGCTTCAAATATCAAAGTACCAGTAGAATTTTTACAAAATGATCCATAGACTTCAACAAGACCAGTTGTATTGAAATTTATCCTAATATTTTCGTAAAATGGTTGAAATATTATTTGTAACTGCTGATTTTCATTTTGTTTTAGCGAAAAATTAGAATCGATTACCGATGATACTTTTATAAGAAATACGGCAACAAGGATTAGAATTTGTAGGAGTAATGTCATAAGTTATAGAAAAAGGCTTATTCCTTGAAATTTATTATATAGAAATTTTATCGAAAAACTCGAGATTCACTCGAGTTATAAAGAATTATCTGAAAAAAAAAATAAACAATCATCATGCCTTGTAAATGATCCGCATGCAAGAATTGTAGCCAATTCCTTAAATATAACATGAAAAATGGAAAATGTTATCAAATTGCCGTAAAATTTCATCCCACCTATAATCATTTGTTATCAGTTAAGTTATCAACTAATTAAAAAACGACATCCCGTCCAATCTATTGGGTTAAGCTTAAACTTAATTTGTACTAAGAAGTAGAGGTGATACGATGAATTCACATTTGTTTGAGGAATATTGCAGAAAGAAAATAAAAAAGATAAAACTTGGAATAACAAAAAAAATAACTTTACATCACGAATTCAGAATAATGTGTAAAAATTTTGGAGAATACAAAATACTTGAAGAAATTTTGCAAAATGGAAATTTTCACTGAATTTTTGAGTATTTAGAAAATTTCGCTTTTAAGACAGAACAAAGAAACAACGAGACCGACTCGTTTTCAATGAGTGACTTCGAAATATCAGTTCAGCTTAAAATTTCGCTAAAAAATTATCAGCAGAATGAGCTCAATCAATTGGTTCTTATTTTTAATTACAGGTTTACTTCTACTGAAATGAAAAACAGATCTCCGACCATTTCTATTTTATGCTCGTACAATATGAATATTTCTAAATTTCTGAACGTTATTTTAAAGTACAATAAAGGAAAATAGAATAATAGAAAAGGACAATGCAAATAAAATGGCCCAAAAATTTTTGTGAATGTTTTATAATAAAATGATCTATGAAAATTGAAAAATTTGTTAGATATGCTAATCGTTTTTATGGTCCATTTCAACGAATAAATGCTTCAAATAAATAAAAATACTCAAAAAATTTTCAAAGAAATTTCTCAGAAATTACAATAAATTTTATAATATTAAAAAAAACCTAGAAAAACATAAAAAAGAAAAATTTTCAAATTTAAAAAAATTTCCACTTTTCATTTTTATAAAATAAACAATTTTTATAAAAATAAAAAAATCATTTTATTTATTTAAAATAAGAACGACAAACGCCATGTATTTACATTAATAACAATTTGCTAACTGAAACCAAATTAATAATACAGATGTGAAGAAATGTGACCAAAAGCTAACAATGTAAAATGAATATACAAATATTATGGAACCATTATTTTGCATGCGAACGCATGGATTGAGAGAATTTATGGTATATAATAAATATTGTGGATGATATTAATGAATATTTTTTTAAAAAATAGCTAAAAATGATGTACGTCGCCCCTTGGCAATAATGATAACAATAGCTGCTCATTTAAATTTTACCTTAAATAAATATCAGTTATCGTATAAAAAGTGAAAAATAAAACAAATTAAAAATATAAGAAAAGTGAAAATTCGCCAAAGTTTCAATTAATTGACATGATAAAATAAGAACATGATAAATGATAATATGATAAAACAATAAAATAAAAAAATAGTTGGGAATGAATGAAAATATCAAGCCAAATATTTCTTCAATTCTGATTGGAATCGGTCTTTTTTAGGTTTTTTTTTGAATCATTTCTGATTCATATGAATTTTATTGATTCCATTTGCTCCATATGTTAATGGAAGAAAAGCTTTGGGAAAAAAAAGAAGAATACCTGAATTTTATTAGTACAGTAATAATTTAGAAAATTGCTGTTTAGTTCATCTATGCGTCTTTTTCGTTAAATTCTGAACATTGATGGCCTAGTTGGCTCCAGTGGTGATAAATGGCATAGTTGGTTCCACTGATGATAAATGGCTCAGTTGGCTCCACTGGTGACTAAGATAAATTTATTGATGCTTCAAAGCTTCGCGATTCGATGCTAAAGATATCCTTCTCAGCACTTTATCGCTGAACCATCTAATACGTTTAAAATCTTTCCGCATCGTTTTAGTGCAAATCTTAATTGGTCCTTCTCGCTTTTTATGGCATTGATCATAGAAAGTCATTACTTGGCCATTCTATTAAATTTATACGATAGTAATTGGTGTAATAAACCATTTATTGGGTTTGGCTGGCTCCACTGGTAACTGGAAGATGTTTCAGATGTTTTTTGCACCTGTGTGCTATGTAATTTTTGTACCATCTTCATCAAATGCTGTTAAAAAGCATTATAGGAACTGGAAATCATAATTTTCACCATTACTGGTTAAACTTGCTCCGCTGGCTTGTCTGGACAAATATGCCAGAAAGTCTCTTAGCGATAGAAATACAGATGAATCACCAGCATCACTCGAATTTTATAGGTTCACTTCTGCGGGGAATCGAACTTTAGCTCCCAGTTGAGCAACAACATTCTATCGCCTGTATGAATATATGAAAGATTATTTGGCTAATTTGTCTTATAACATCGATGTAAAAATAGTTATAGGAAAAAAACAGAGGCAAAGGAAAGGTGAAGGAAAAAGAAAAATGAAAAAAAAAAACGAATCTACACAATCTTTATCTTCAGATGTCGAATCGGATAACTCACAAGTATATATTGTGTTTTACCTTTTTTTTTATGCTATTTGGATCAACTTTTTCGAAATATTTTGTATTTTTTATATTACTGTCCAATTGCACTTTCAAAAACTTGTTATCATTATTTTTATCACACTTGATCAGTTGTTTGATAAAATTGATGAAGAAATTTATGTAATATTATAAGTTGGCGAAAATTGATTAAAAGCTTTAAAAAAGCTTTATTTGTCAGTAATTTTCCAAATAAAATATTTCAAAAACGATGAATTTTGCAAAACAGTTGATAATTATGGATAAAAGGAAAAATGAGAAAATAAGATTTTGATGAAATTAAATAACTTTAGCACCACAGATTTTTAGAAATATAACATTTAAAATGTTTAAAATTCCTAGCAAATCTAATTTCGCACTCTGTGATATGCCATGTAAACAACGCCATTTGTTCGTTTATGAGTCATACTGTTGTATGCATAAAGTTTCATTTTTTAAGGAAAATCATATTTTATTGTTTTTTCAATTATTTCACCATTTCTCAAGTAAAAGCAGTAATAAGTGATTTATTCACTTAATTAAAAAGTAAACAAGTGATAAGTGATTATCAGGAAGAAATAAGAAAGGTAGGAATTTTAAAAATAAGAAAACGCTTGAAAGCTTAAATGAAATTTTGAACTGAACAAGAAAAGATTAAATAAGCGAATTTAACTAATAAATAATTAATTTAAAGAACGAGCCATCCTACGCATCGTATATAATTTTTATCCTTATTCAAAGCCATAATTTCCTGTACTTCTTCATCTGATAATCTTACTTCGACAGCCTACAATTAAATTATAACCAAAATTAATTAATGTTCTGCATTAAGAGAAATAAATTTACAGCAAAAAATCGGTGCTCTGAAAATTAAAGAGCTATTCCATATTTTTTCCAAAATTTTCCAAAAGCCAAAATTTTATGCATTCGTGCATTTAAAAAATCTCATGAAATGAAAAAAAGAACCTTAATATTTTCCATGACCCTTGAAGGATTCTGTGACTTTGGAACAATTCCAACACCAATTGCGAGAGGCCACGCCAACAAAAGTAACTGAAAAATTCAAGTGGTAAATTCCTACAAATTTTATGTCATCTCTTGCAAAAAATATAAAGTAAAACATAAAAAGAAACTTGAGGAGTTATTTTATGAACCGAAGCAATTTTTTGTATAACTGGGTCGCCAATTAAATCGGGATGATGGCGCGCCAATGAAGAATATGCCTGAAAATCCCATTGCACAAAGTAAAATAAGATAAAAATGAATTCCTCTAAAACAAATTTCTGTAATAAAACAATACAAGAAATGATAAAATTTGTTATTAATATGGCAGAATTAAAGAATCGAAGTGCCTGGAAAAAAACTCCTTCAGTTCGACAATATTGAAAAAGTTCATTCCGAGTAAAATGTGGATGGAATTCCACTTGATTTACTGCTGGCATCATTTTACCATAACTTTTAATTTCCTCAATATGTCTACTTTCATAGTTTGATACACCGACAGACCGGACTTTGCTTTCCTCTGAAATAGATAATCAAAGAAAAATAGCAAAAATTTCTTCACCAAGAAATTTATAACGTCACCTTTAAGGATTTCCAGTTCGAGATAAGCATCTTTACGATTGATCGAATTGTTCGGATCATCATCTGCACTATCATTGGCCTTAGGATAATGTATCAGGACCAAATCCAGATAGCTTTAAAAGAAAATAAAATGCCTCAAAAAAATGTGGCATGCAAATATCTAAAATACCTGGTTAGAAATATTTGTAAAATATTATTTTACATCGAATCTAAATTTTTTTGAAGTTTTTCTATAATTTCTCTATGATTATTAAATAACTAATTTAATATACTGAAAATATGGCAACATTTTCATAGATCATTTATAATTCTATTCAATTCATCCACTGATTTTCTACCCCATCAGCACCATATCTAGTTTTAAAAATGAATTGAATAGAATTATAAATGACAATATTTAGTATATTAGCAAAAACACTCCACCAATTCATCAGTATTAGAGTTTTTTATCATTTTATTAATATTATGTTGTATTTCTTATTTTATTGCTGTTTTAAGTTTTTTCACTAAAAATGAAAAATGAACCATTTGTTCAACAACCATAAACAAATCCAATTCCTTTCTAATTAACTGACTTCCTTTCTAATTCATTTTTTCTCAGTAAATTCCTTTCAAAATTCCTTTCAAAAGTTAATAAATGATATAAAAAAACCAATTCATAAATTTTAACTTTAAAAATATCTTAAATAAAAATAAATTTATAAAAAAAATGATATTCCCAAACAAGTTTTTAAAAAAATAATAAAAATTCAAAAAACTACTCGGTTTTTAAATTTTGAAGCGATTCGTCGACCATTTTTCGAGCGAAATCTCTATTATTCGAAACAGCTGGAAAAAATTTCGTTGTGATGAAAATATCCTTTCGTTCAAGACTGTATTTCGGCAAAAGTTCCTGAATTCGATCTTTAATGAAACAAAATAAATCGGTTTTTCACATAAAGTTAAGCAGAGGTTAAAAAAACTTGGTTAAAAACTTTCACAAAGAAATCAATAACTTTACAGTTTTTAATAAAAAAAGACTGTTAGCCTAAGCACTAAAGATTAAAACCATCGGCACTAACTATTCAACTTGAAAGGCTTAAATAATTTTCATTTTTATTTCTTGAGTGGTCGTTTATGTTCCGCTCTGCCATTCCCTTATATTATTTCTGGAGCTTTACAATTTGCTAACAATCAAGCTAAGTTTCTTCTAAATTTTTAAATCAAAGGATTTAAAAAAATAAAAAATAAATTGTAAATAATTTAACTACTTAATATATAATAATACCCGTACCTTGGCACAGGTCTGTGCTTATAGGGAACTGACAGATTCTTTCGAAATAAAATAAAAATTGATGCCAAGGATGCGTCCTTTCCCCTACAATATTCATCTATGCGATAGACTGGATAATGGGCTTGTTGCCACTCAAGAGGTGTGCAAATCAGTCCAGAGCATAGCATCACAGACCTTGAATACGCTGATGAAGTAGTCCTTTTTGCTGACTCAATGAAATACAAATAATGTTAAATAATGTGTCAATAATGTGTCTCGTGTCAACTGCAACGAGAATTGGACTTAAAGTATTAATAAATCAAAAATATTTTCGTCTTATATACAAGAAGCTGATAAAATACTTAAAACTTATTTTTTATCAGCTCATTGTCGGTTGGGGAAGTAAATACCTTGAATGCACTCTAATCCCAAATGGCCAGGCAGAGGATGAAATTGTAACTCGGACAACAACAGTTAGAAATATTTTGTCGGTTGACGGAATTTTTATGGAACTGTCGCGAAATACCATAAAGAAGAAAATCCGAATCCATATGACTCCAATTCACTCGATATGGCTGCGAAATGACCAATGAGAGCGGAAGATATTAAAAAGCTATCAGCCTTTGACTACTCATGTCTAGAATACATTTTACGGATCCGTCGAGCTAATAAAATCGCATATAATTGCATTACATTCATCTTTGCTCAAATACCACCTATATGTTATCACAGAGCGTCGCCTTCGCTAATTAGGGCATGTTCTTCCGTCGTCCACCACAGGAGTTGATGGATATTTCGCTACTTGCCGAACGATGTGATGACAAAAGCGAGCAGGGCCAATCAAGACCTGGACTAATATAATCAGAAAAGAATTTTGAATGTGTAGTGGGACCAGCGATATATGGACTTAGACGATGGAAAAAAGAATGGCTTCCATTACAAATAGCGATGGCGTCGGAACGAGCAGTAATGGTGAGAATTGTCAGAAGAAAATATATATGCGTATATATAATAAATATTAATACATAGGAGTAGATCTTTTTCCCATCCAATCTGCCTTCATATGTACTATGCCAAGAACTAAAAAAAAGAATGAAAAATATGATGCAAAAGTGAAAGCCAAAATAATTCCAGTGATGACTGGAGCACTTGGAGCTGTGCTTCCTAAAACTAGAAGGATGGCTTCAGCAAATTGCAACATCACGAATCTCTATCCAGAACAACGCATTACTGAGAACAGTATAATGTGTAGAACTCTTAGCCACCCAGGCCTCTGGTAGGGGATCAGAGAATGATCATTGCCATTCAAAAGATTTTTTATAGTTTGTTTAATATAAAATTTGTTTATTTTCTTTTTTTTTGTCATCGACAGAAATAAACTTTTCATAATTTTGAAAATCTAGCTGGCTGCCGGAGATCAACCTTTAATTTTATTTCCAAAACTCTATGGTGAAGTCATCTGGTCTTGATTCGTATGATGTCCTCAGCTTTGTGGTACATGCGATTAATAAGCGATTCGAGCATAGAAAAACAATACCAAGGATTGAAGATAGATTTGCTCTCCAGCTAAGGTAATTGTTCGAAGCCTGTCAAAGGAAACGGCTCTCTGCGTGCGCAGCGATGATATCAGTCGTAGAACCGTGGAACGCCAGAGCACTTATGAACTTTGTCAAGCGATCACTGCCCACACTTTTCTTAAATATCATATATATACGGCATCTGCTTATCGGAGCCCTCCCTCACTTCGAGTCTCTAGTATTTACTAAACCTGGCTTCGACGCGATAAATTTTAAAGAAAAATTTTATACGGAATTCAACAACCAAAAACTTCTCTGCTGAAAGGTGAAATAAATGAATGAGACTGGAATATGTGCTGCCATGATGAACTCGTTTTTGTATTTTTTTAGAGTGTCCGGTCCGGCAATGCAAAACGCCTTTGCCGAGGAACATGAACTTTTCGTAATAAATAGATCCTTCAAAAAGGACAAAAAAGGCAAAAAAGACATTAATCACGTGGAACTTTTCGGATAACCAACATTTCAACCAGATTGATTATATCTATTATTATATATTGATTAGAATTATTAGTCAGTAGCCGCTGGAAGAGTTCAGTACTAGATAATCGTTCCTATCGCAGCGTTAAAACTGGTAACTTTCATGGATTAGACCATACTGTGGTTCGAGCCGAGATTCGCATAAAACTCTAGAAACTCTCAAAATTTTTCAACTGTCTTAAACTAAGAGATTCGGGAACAGTAAGCGCATTTCAAACCGAATTATTAAAGCACCTCAATGATACAATTATTAGGGACATCTACAAATGAATACTGGTTCAATTAAAGGCTTGTCTCGAAAATCAGCCACTTTCACACTAGGATATGCTGGTAGACAATGCGCTAGCTGAGCACCGAAAGTAACTGTCCAACTGTCTGAAAAAGCTGCCAAAGCACGAATGAAAAAAAATGAGGAAATTGTCTTCCTACCGAGAAAAAGAAATTGTGGCCTTAAAGGTGCACAAAAAAATAATAAATTACCACAACAATGACCAAAGGTACTTCATAAGCGTTGAGTTTGAGTCAAATGTTTTTTATCATTAATAAGAAAGCGAATGAAATTTTAAGCAAACCATGAAAGCGTTGCCCAATTCTGGTTCATTCTTATAATATTTCGCCGTGTCAAACATTCGATAACCGGATTTAAGCGCGCCATCAACGGCGGCCGTTATCGTTTCCTGCCCCGTTATCTTATAAGTTCCGAGACCAATCATCGGTAAATAATAATTTGTGTTCAGCTTTACTGAACCACCAATTATATTTGTAAATTGTGACATCGTATTATCTGAAATAAATTTTTAAGAAGAAAATCGTATATTTACAAAATTCAACGCTAATATTCAATTAATAAATTTTATTATATTTTATTTTTTATTTTATTAAATTTGCAAATAAAATTGATAAAAATTCAAATTTTAATAATTAAAATTCAATTTTACAATTTAAAAATGAAAAATTCAATGATTTTTTATAATAATAATTTAACTGAATAAAATTTATTTTTGATTTGCATTAATTGATATTTAATTAAAAAATAAATAATGAAATTACAAAAAATAATTACAAAGAAAAAAATGGCAGAAAAAATTGGTAACAAAAATAAAAAATCAATAAATTAAAAAACCAAATATTTTCGAAAAATATATTTTAAAAATAAAAAAATTCTTAGTTTTGAGGTGATTAAAAATAAAATTTGGAGCACAACGTTTAAAAATATATGTCTTAAAACGAAAACTAGTCTACAGTAGCTATTTTTGGTGTTATATATTTATGTTTTTACTTTTTATTAATTCGCGTAAATGAAGGGTCTCGTTGAATACGAAGTAAGCGAGGAGTCTGATAACGCAAGTGATAATGAAAATGGTGGTGAACGAAATGGTACCTTTTTATTGTCTTTCTCGTTAATAATTAGTCTAATCTTAATTTTTTTAATATTTCTTTTATTTAAAAATTATAAAATTTTTTTTTTTATTTAAATCTCATTAAGTTTTTATAAATTTATTATTATTATTTTTCCACAAGATTTACACCACTGCCTTTCTTTTCGAGTAGTTTTATATAGCCGATTTCTGTTGTAGGTTATTTTATTTTTGTGCTTGAGAATTACGGCTATTTAATGATTTTACGAAAATTTTCTGTTTATCGATATCAAAGAATTAGTGATAAAAATCTTCTAAATTTTCGCTAATTAAATTTTCCACAGTTGATTTGCAAAAAGACCCCCGTAAATTCTTTAGATTTTTAATTGAGGAAATTTATTTTTCTTTTCGTTTGAGTGAAATTTCTTCTTCTACTTAAATTTTTTTTTTACTATCTTTTTTTTAGAAATTTCAACTATACTGAAATTTTTGCCACCAACAACGAATGATGAGCCAAATATTAATCGAAATATTGTGGAAGATGATACACTCGAAGAGATCGTTAAGCCAAAAGAATGGGAAATAAAATTGGCAAAAAAAGTCGAAAAAAAGCGGAAAAAAAAGGAACTAAAAAAATTGAAGAAACTTGAGAAGAAAAAGTTCGTTTATCATAGTTAATATTTTAATATTTAATGTTTTAAAAAGAAATACAGCTGATGGTTTTATTTATTTTTTTTAAAGAGCATTCACCATTGCTGGTTAGGTTCGCTCTGGTTTATCAGGTTAGACGGATTTGCTAGTGAATCCCTCAGCAGTAGAAGCACAGGTGAGTCGCCCGGATTTTCTCGGACAGGTTTGCTCGCGCCTTCAGCATTTGTGCTTGAGCAACAACTACAGTCCACTGCGTCTTTTCACTCCTTTGCTTTCTCCGTTAAGCAGCATTGCCATCCGATGAAGCGTGGTGCATCGGACAGTTTTCTGATTTTCTTCAGAATCAATTGCCGTGGATTCAAACACAGTTGTCGATTCTCGGTGGAAATTTTTTCGCTTGATCCACTAATATACTTGTTGAAATCATTTTAAAGTTTGAGCCAACTACTAAAAATTAAAGCATTTTTTGTATCGTTCAAATTATTGTCGATTCATTTGTTCATTTAGTTTTGATAAATTATATTTTTGGTGTAATGATAAAGTCACCAGTAATAAAAATATGACATATTTAGAAATGTTATCGCTTCTGATCCTTGTTCTTCGGAAGATAAAATTTCTGAAGGAACTCCAAGAAAACGAGCAAAAATTGATGCATTTGGTGCCTTGTCTGCACTTCATTATGAGAGTGATGAGGATGATGATAAGAACGTCATTATGGTTATTGCTTTTCTTTTATGTTCGCAAAATTCTTTATTTTTCTGAAGTTAACATCCCTTGATTATTCTTAACTATTACAGTGTATTAGATTTGGTAAATTATTTTTTTAGGCAAATTCCACTTCTAAGGTCGGATCAGGGCTTTTATCATTATTGCCAGAACCTAGTACTGCAACAAAGTTTGGCAAGAAAGCGAATATATTTTTGCCAAACACTGTACGAGTGAAATCTTCTACAGAATCGAAGCAAAAACATGTGAATTTTATATATTATATTGTGGAACAGTTTTCTGATTTTCTTCAGAATCAATTGCCGTGGAACATTATTGAATATTATTGAATTATTGAAAATATTTAAATATTTTGGTTTGAAATATGTTATAGGGGTCGGCAGAAGTAAGTGGAAACTCTTGTAAAGATGACGTAAGCGACGGTTCCGACGATGAAATCACAAACGATTATTTCGGATTGAATTCGAAAAGTGAGGAAAAAATTGAAATCGCACCTGAACCTTATGGACCAAGCAAGGCAATTATTGTTCTTTTTTTTTAAATAATTTCTTGATTTCTTTTGCCTCTTTCCAATAGAAATTGCTATTTATTAAGATATTCATTTCTTTGAGTGTAGATTTTTATGGGTTTTTGTGTAAAAATATACATAGCTTTTCTGGTTTATAAATATTGTTTTCTAAAATTTCTTTTTTTTTAAAAATTTTGTCATTGTTCACTATTCAGTTCTAGGACCAGATTATTGGGGAGAATAAGATGCAAATGCAAAATAAGCCACAAGTCTCACAAATTAGTGATGATGTAAGTTATTTTCATTATTGTATGTAGAATTTTTTTTTGGAGCCATTTCAAAAATGTTTTCGATTTTTTCGAATTGCAGTTCATCTTCACGTTGTTAAAATAGGTGTAATCCTAAATTACTTTTTTTCAAAAAAACACTTTATTGTTCCAGCATGCTATGGAAATAATATACCAAAATGATGCGATCCATATGGACGGTAGACTAAATGTTGCCGATGCTGTCAGTAATATTATAGATGTTAATGTGGATCAGGTTAAATATATTTTCATTCATTTGTTTTGCCATGTTTTTTCGATGGAAATCTTTCAGTTAAATTTTCTTTAAAGTCGCATGAAATTTATTTTTATAGGCTTTGGGTCCAAATATTAGAGCCAATCTGTTGAAGAATCTCCACAATAAGTCGCTTGCAGAAGCTGCTATAGCACATTTATCGACAGTTCCAAAGGCTAAAGGGCCTAATGACGTCATTGCCAGAAGAAAACATCAAATTACATATTTGGCGAATGTTGTTAGTATTACTCCTTTTTTAAATGAATTTTTCGTATAAGCTAATTTTTTTTTCATTTTTTCTAATATATTTACATTAGTCTTATTAAACCTAATCTTATTTGAATTTTTACAAGTTATATTAATTATTCATCGATCTGCACCCGAAATGCTTATATTTTATTTCTGTTTACATTTGCTGAAATTTAGGCTGTGGCTCGAGAAGAATTGCTTGCTGAACAATGGTCGCAAAATCGACATAACAAACGAATGTCCTCACAGAAATATGGTTTTTGAAGTGAAATATGTACAGTAACACTTAAAATAAAGTAATAAATTGGCATTAAGAGGCAGAAACATATATAAATTGAATTTAAATTGAACTTTTAAGGTTTTTATATTCATTGATTGATTATTATAATCATATTGAACTGAAAAAAATTATTCCTCATTTATTTCCTTACTCAGTTTGGCATAGTTTTATTAAATTTCAAATTTTTATGAACATATTTCGATGGATTTTTCTATCGTATATGTCATTCGAATGATTTCATTAATTATATTGGTGAAGGGAAAAAGATGTAAGGTCGAGCAGATTGTATAGTTTAGTCTGGTCTTTTTTGAACTTATTATGCATATTATTTCTTTCCAGTTTTGTAGTTTGCACAAATCCGCTTTGTAAAAGGAGTTGTCAAAGCTATTTCTAGATTTTTTACAGCCTTCTTGACAGGTTCGATTATAAACTTTTCTGAATTACAATTACAATTATTTATTTTTTTGGTGGTTTTTTTAGTTTATTAATTGTGAACTTATATTTATATTATATTTAATATCAATTTAATATCAATTCTGGGGATGCTGGCGATTCAACTGTACTTCTGTCGCCAAGGGACTCCCTGGCACATTTGTCTAGTGTTATAATCCAGCGGAGCAGGTTTAATCAGCAATGATGAGTGCTCTCAATAAAAAAATTCAATATTATTTAAGATTTGTATTATAGAAATTAGCTTAAAAACACTTCTTCACCTTTTGATTTCAATATTTTAAATTTTTATTTTTCTAGTTCTATTTTTTTTTATTTATCTCGTTTTTTATACAATTTTTTAATGCAGAATAAACTTTTTTTTTAAATCTTTAATGTTAATAAAGGCATAAAATTGCATGAATCCATCCTAAGTAAAAAAAAATTACTTCCGCTTGATTAACTGAACTGTATAACTGTTTTGATCAATCGCATTCGATATAAGTTGGGAGGTTAGGATGTTTATCTTTTTAATAATTATTATTCATATCCGGTTTTTATGGGTTATACAATATCATTGATATTATATGAGCTGTGAAGTATTTTCTCGAAATTATAATTGCAAGGCAGTTTTTCGATTAATGGAATTCCTCATTTTAAGCCTATCTGGCATATTTAACTCCTCGATAATCGTCAAAAACGATATTTTTCAGATACATTTTGTGGATTTTTTTAATGCCCAATAGATTTTCTGCTTTTTTTTTAATATTATCGAAAAAAAAATCATCTGTCAGGCTGATTTAACCAAGAATCTATTGCATTCTATTCATTCAACCATTCTAACATAAAACTTGCTTTTGTCTAACTGGTCATTTTAATATTCATTCTTCAGCTGTCACCATAAGCTAATCACGGTTTAAATTTTAAAATTATCGTAAAATTCTCTATCTTTCTTATCGATTGCCTTAAACATTTTTCATTTTTAATAGCATTTAAATAATTACCATTTTTTTTGTAAAACATCCATTTTTAATTTGGTTTAATTAACTATTTGCTTGAAATTCACTCGAGAAGAAATTGGTGAAACAATTTAGTCAATAAAATTGCCCCTCGAATTTGCCACTGTTTTTCAAATGATTAATATTAAAATATATTACTTGGAATTACAAAAAGTTGAACAGTTGGTTATATGTTTCATTAGGAATAAAGTTACTATGGATTATTCTAAAAAATGTGTTAATTACAATATTTTTTAACAAAGTATTCAATTTTTTACCTTTTATTTTAGTTTTTTCTTTGAAAGATGCGATTATTTACATTGATATTTTTCTTATCTCTTGGAGAAGGTTTATCGAGAAAAGGTAAGTTTTTGGCTTATCACTGTTAAATGAATTTGCCTGAATTTTTCTTTTTCACTAACTCATTTGATTATAATGAATGAAAAAATGAAAAAATTTAAGAATTTTTATGAAATTTTAAAAATATCTTTTCAAATGTTAAACTAATTTTATGAAGAATTTTGCAATTTTTCGCACTTTTAAATTCATACTTAAGGAAAATTTTAAATTTTCAACAAAAACTGATATCGAATCGTATGAGAAAGAAATTGTAGTTCCAACAACAACTGTTTCCATGACGAGAAGTGAAAATGAAATCAATAGTGACAATACGATTGCGACTGATAAAACAGTTTTCGACGAGGAAAGCGATTTAGACAGCGGTAAAAACGAATCGGATGAAGACGAGGAATATACTGTCGATGATACCGATGAAGAAGACACGACTGAGACTGAAAATGTGGAAATCGAAAATATTTCGGAAAGCACTTCCACACTATCACCTTTAATTGTATGACAATATATTATTTTTTGGATCTTTCAAGACGAAAAGAGAAAAAATATATTTTCTAATAAAGAAAAAAATTTTATTGAATAATCTTTTCATTAATTAATTAATTAAATAATGAAATATAAAGCAAGCTGTTATCAAAATTATCGCGAAATAGTATAATTAAAATTTGGCACTATCAATTATTTTATCACCTATTACTTATAGTTACTTATGAAAGAAGGAAGCTACTTATTTAACAAACTGTGGTTGCTAGAATAATCGCTGATGATTTTTATAATTTATGATTTTTATGATAAATTAATTTTATTTGAAAAATTGGCATAAATAACTTTTTTAATCGAAATTCCATTTTCATTCCATTAACGTTTAATCATTTCTAAAACTTGGTTTTTTGTGGAATTTCTTTTGTTAGACGAGAAATTAGTTTTTTAGCATACAACTACACCGATGCACCATTCAGTAAGCTCTAAATACATTTGCATGCAGAGATAACAAAGCAGCATTAAGATTTTCGTAATAAAACAAGGCTAATTTACTTGAAGATGTTCGCTTATAAATCTGCTGAATACTATTTTTAATTATCACTATCGAAAAAGGAGATCAAATATTTTGCTAAAATTCACAATGGCTAATAATGAAAGCTGCTTAATTGAAATTAGCAATGCGATTAGGGGGAAAGAATGATTTCAGGAAGGAATGCAAAAACATAAGCGAGGAGCTAATTCGAAAAATATCGATGCCAATAGGAGTTATCAGAGGGATTTCAACGAGGATAATCTTAAAAATACAGAAATTTTTCGAAATGACAAAAACTGCATCGAAACGTCGAATAAATCTGACGAAAGTGCGTTAAAATTAAACCTAAAATTGCTTATTTGAGGTCGTTTAAAAAAAAAAAGACTATTAAAATTTTTGCAATAAAAATTTTTATTCTAAAAAAACGAATTTATTTATTTCCCGAAAAAATTTTTACGAAAATTTTACGAATTTTTCTTTTAATTTCATAATAATCACAATTATTTTTTTTTTAAATATTATTTAATATTATTATTATTATTTTTAACTATGTCGAATGAAAAAAATTTACACTTTTTTTTGAACAAATTTGTAATTTTTAATTTTAATTTTTTAATAATATTTATTATTCTAATTCTATTTTTCATCCTTTTTTATTTATCTTAAATTTTATAAATTATCGTTTAAAAAATTTTTCATTTTAGTTCGACGTCGCGTTAAACGAGTGTCAAGAGCGGGCAGCTCACATCGAAAGAAAAAAATCTTAAATGATGGCAATCGTAATCAAATTGAACAAACAAATAAAAATCATCCAAAACAATTTCAATAATAAATTACAAAATATTTTTTATGCTTTCATTTGAATTATTAATAAAAATTAAAAAAATAAATAAATATTATTGAATTTCATTATACTCTAAAAATATGAAATATTTTTTACTTTACGATTTCATAAATTACCGTAATATTAAACATATTAAATATGATTTTGTGTTTTATGGAGCCATTGCCTAAGTAGTAATTGATAAGCTATTAGAAGAAAACGAATGATCTTGGGGAACTTTGTGATTATCTTATGGACTGTAATAAAGTTCATCAGGTTTGCCATTCAGGTTCAGATAAACAAGCAAAAAAGAAACAAGATGATATGTTCAACAAATCAAGTAAAACTATTCGGGAAAGACGAAAATTTTCGCAAGGAATATATATTTCAGCCGCGTAACATTGCTACTCCGGTTTTGTAAACTTTTTCGGGCTCATCGAAAATAATTCGATCAATTAATTCTTTTCCCTGCATAAAGCAATGATCCTGATTCGAGCATTCATATTTCCAGCCACCAAATCGTCCACGAGAATAGATATTTCGTTCCTCGAGAAACTGATGTATTCGACTTAATGTAGAGTCACGCTAAATTCACTTTTTTGTTTTAACGAAAATAAACTTCACGAAACAAATCCAAATGTTTAATTTGGCCAATAAAGTAGGACTATAGAACTAAGCACTAAGCACTAATAATATTTTTCCTGAAGAAAATCGAGAAAAATGAAGATTTTCTTGGATTAGCCAATGCATAAAATTATTACCGGAAAATATACTTTCACCACTAATTAATGATAATTATTAGATGTTATATATGTAATTAGTTGTGCGATAATGTGATAATGCGAATCAATGTGTTGCCTATACAAAATAAGAGAAATTCGGAATTTCAGATTAGAAATTAGCGAAAAATGCAAAATTCTCATTCAAATTCAAATTCATGAAAGTTAGTTCCACGAAACAGGTCGAAAAACGTTTAAAACAGTTCCATTTTCCACAGTATATTGGAGCGAAAAATGAGAGAAATCGTTCGAAGAAGGAATTTGCATCGACAAATTACCTGAACTGTTGGGATTGGATAGCCATACGGTAATATAATCGAATAAACGCTCACGATTTGATCGCTTTCGATCATCGATTTTTTAATAAGTCCATCAATCGTCAATTTTCGAAATTCGCTTTCAGTTGTCTAAACGAATTAATAAAAAATCATTTGAGATACAATTAAAAAGAAATAAAAAATCGCAAAAAAATAAATAAATAAAAGAGAAAAATTCGATGTTTTAGAATTTTTTCTTTTATGAAAAATTTTTTTATGACAATGAAAAATTCAAAATTCCTTCAAAAAATTATCAGTTAAATGAAAATAATCTAAATAGAAAAGAAATTCAGATTGGCCATTCACTTCAATTGCCAAATGATTCAGCCAAGGCAAAAATTATTTCCTAATAACGAGCAGAGCAACCAGCTTAACCATAAATGATAAGCGCTGACCATTTGCCTACCTTAAAATTATTAGTAAAGAAGAACATTACTGGGGCGGTTTTCTTAAAGCCCGAGTGCTTCTGGCCATTTGCAAATATTTCTTAAAAAATTTAAAAAATATTATAGTGCCAAATATCGCAGAATGTGGGATTTCGTGAAAATCAAAAATTTACGCAGTTTTTTTTCTTATATTTATGATTTATAAATATATAAAATTTCTCATTTACGTAAAATCCTATCCGACGACCATTCGTCAAAAAAATAAAAAAGCCAACAATCAATCGGTAGGATAATGAAGAATAAAATAAAGTATCGGAGGAAGTAAAGATGACCGGAAGGGAAAATTCTTCACAATCGAACAAGTAAACTTGGACAATAACCTCGTCGTCAATAGGTCGTGCGCATTCACACATTAATGACCAAAATTTATTATTGTCTGGAGTGACCTCTCCATATTTCGAAAATATTGTCACCCTAAAGAATGGTACTGAAGGATCGGGAAAATATAGCCATGTAAATTGCTGGAGAAAACTTGTCATTGGCTGTTTCAGTCCAACACCAATAACGCAGACCTGCAAATATTTTTATTATTTTTAGACTGATAATTCATGAATAAATTTTTTTTGCGATGCTACAAGTTAAATTAACTCTGCAGACAGCCACATGTGGATAGATGAGTCCACGATTTCTTCCCTTAGATTTCACTTTTAATGATATGATTGCTGATTTATTGGCAGTTTAAGAATCGAATATTGTAAATATATCATCACCGAAGCAACAATCAACTTAGCCGTTATATTTTCCAAAGGAAATATTATCGTTCATGCTTTTAGCATTTTTGGTTTGGTAATGTAAATTTGGTATTGTAAGTGGATTTAGAAGACGAAAAATCTGAATTTCTGAGTAAAAAAATTTGAAATGGAAGATTTTTTTTAGGAAGGATCATTAAAAAAATTAAGAAAGTAATATAAGTGATCTTACCTTATTAAAGCGAAGGTTGAGTTTAATGGAACTGGTGATACTGCTAACAAGCTGGTCAATTGGACCGGTATTAACCAATATATCGTAGTCAATAGTGTTCTCTTCCCTACGATTTCCGACTTTTTCTTCATAAGTTAATTTTTTTCTCTTGGTATCGATTTTGATAACCTGGAAAATCTGTAATGTATTTTTGCTTTTTCAATTTTTTGCTTCTTCACTGATTATCTTTCAACTTAGGGGCAAAAATACGGATAGATCCCTCATCGTTGATCATTAGTTCTAAAAATAAACAACCAATAGTTAATTCATAAGCCATAAAAAAAGAAATCATCTATGGATGATTTACTTCAGAATTATATTTCAACCACTTAGATGGAAGTTGATTCGCTATGGCGTTCCAAACCGCGCCGGTACCACCATATTTGGGAAATGTGAAGTACGCATTAGGTCCCCAACCGAAATCTGCATTCTGCAAATTTTTCATCAATTTTCATGTCTGAAAACTTTATCATTTAAAAGCAAACACTTTGGAATGATGAGTTATTATGAAATATAAATATTTTAACAAAGAATATAACCACAATTTTTTTGAAATTCAAAAATAGAAAATTAATGATAAATTAATAATATTAATAATAATGATAACACGAAGTTCATCTTCACTGGCCGCACATAACTGTTCCAATTTCTTCATCGGTAACATAGCGACACGAGTACCAACCCAATTTGAGCTCATTTCTGTCGTTTCAACTGTCCACACCTTAAAGAAGTATATAAAATTCTCAAACTGCAAATAGATCATGAATAAATTTTAGTTAAAATTTTTCTATATGTATTCATTTCTCCTCGTCAAGATAATTGACCGTATACAATTGAAATTGTTCGGCATTCACTCATTCCATTCTATGCATCTATTAATTTGTAATAAAAAATACGAAAAAAAATACGAGAAAAAAAAGAATAAAAACAGGTAAAAAGAAAAAAAGAAGGAATACAAAATCAAAAAAAAAAAGCACAACTATTAAAACTTTAAATTTCAAATTTTGAAACAACAAGAAAGATCAGAATTTTTTAATTCTTTCGAAAGAATCCCATAATTTTCATTCCGATTTATTATGCTTATTGTTGCTATTATTATTATTTATCATTATCAACATTGTTACTAATAATATTGTTATTGCAAATGTAATTATTAGTGTCATTATTATTAGCATTATTATTGTTACTATTATTATTATTATCACTGCTATTATTATTGCTATTATTAGTAATATTATTATTATTATTGTTATTATCATTATTATTATTAATATTGATACTATTATTATTGTGCGCAATGTTTTTGCCACAAAGGAAGATTTTTCGTATCTATTTTCCCCACAAACCTACAATTGCTTTTACTGCTTGGGTGCAACAAAATCAGTCTAAATGAATAAAATAAGTTAAGTTAATAAGTTAAACTAAACCGCCTATTAAAAAAAATCATATAATTTCATTTCATAATAGCGATAATGATATAATTTCATCTGATATGGCAAATTTCTCGCATGAGATTTTTATCCAAATCATTTTTTTCGGTTGGTCACGAAAAATTCAATAATGGTTCTCTGCGATCTCCAGTGATTTGACATTAAAATGATGATTAGTAGCTCCAGTATGATTACCAGCTCCAGTATAATGATGATTATTATCATAATTTTTCTATTTTTATTGCCTAATCGAATCGATGTTATCGAATTTCTTTCTTCATTAATATGTATATAATTTACCTTTTTTGTATATAATTTGAAGAAATTATCAAGAATCGTCGGACCAAAATGTTTGAGAATCCATCCGTCAAAACTATGCGAAGCCTGGAAGATTCTCAATAATCTTTTCTTCTAAATACTCTTTAATCTTTAAATTTAACCTATAATTATTTTGCGGATCTATATATATATATTTGTTCTAAATGCTCGCACCATTTTTTGGTTAGGCTCGCTCCACTCGTTCGAAGGACAAGGCAATCTTTATCAGCGAATCACTTAATGATAGAAATACAAATGAATCTTCAGCATCACCAAGATTTTTAAAAGATTTGTTTATTCGTGTAAGAAATAGAACTATAAGCGCTTCGAAATGAGTATACCAGCTCACTGAGCCATCATATATACCCTTCCCATTAATATATATATATATATATATATATCTTAATCTAACAGTTTGTTGACTAAAAAATAAGAGAGAAATAGTAGATAAGTAAGTAAATAAGAACAAAAATGGAAAAAGATTTTGGGCTGGAAAATTTTCAAGAAGAAATTCGTGATCAGTGATAAATTTATTATCAATGGTAAATATTCGAGGAAAAAGAATGACCTCTTCGGTGGAAAGGATATCGCCATTTTTGTCAAATCGTTTCATAAGATCCTCTAAGCATTTTCGTTTGATTTTTTCTGGGAAAAGAGGAATAGCGAATTGAGCGGGATAAGGAACCAAGTGAATTCCTTCTTCGTCGAACATATAATTGATATCAACCTGAAATTTAACTAAACTTTTAATGACTAATGATTAGTTTTTTTTTGACAACTTTCTTTAGAGAATTGAGAATGGCAATTATAGCGGTGAAATATGTTAGAATAGCGGTTTTCGATTTTTCTTCTCTTCAAGCGTATCATAGATGGTTCGACTAGGTGCTAAGACTAAAAATGCGTAGGAGGCACAAATGGGTCTTTAATTCGCCAGGTAGGCTCTACTACGAAACATTCTTGCTGACTTTTATATTTATAATAAATTTGCTTAAATAACTCACCTGACAATTTCTTTTCAGCTTATTCCATTCGGGAAGAGCCGATGTAACAGCTCGCTCATAATATGGGAAGTTGTGATTAAAGGTTATATGGCCTCCCATATCCCACAGGAAGCCTTTTTCATCTTTTACTGAACAAGAAAGGCCACCTGGAAATGATTCCTGAAAAACTTGGAATCCAAATTATGTTTTTCGGCAAAATAAGTTATTTCCTTTGTTCTCTTGGCTTTGTTTATAGATTTGTCGAGGAGAAACACTCGTCTAATGATAATTTTTGCTTTTCATGAGAAATACCTTTTCGAGGACTAACAGTTCGATATCTTTCGCTAAGTCATTGAATGTCTGCAGTTCATGAAGTCTATGTGCAAATCCAAGTGCAGTAGGTGCACAGCCTATTACGACTATTTTCATCGAAATCTATTCGTTGCTGCAAACAGTAATTATTTTTTTAACAAAATTTTTACAGATTCATCTAGCCTTATACTTTTTACTAACACTAAGAATTTTGGATTGTCGATATTTTTTGCAAATTTTTCTTTTCATATAATTAAAAAAGGAACCAAATGAAAATATATAAGGACTATATAAATATAATTTAATAAACAATTCAGTTCAGTTTGAATGAAATCTCAACGATTTGCGATATTTCATTACTATTCCATTAAGCTTGGAGCCATGAGTGGATAAAGGCATTTAGATGACCATTTTCGCTAGAGGGAATAAAGCTTTCCTCGGTGGCTTTCGTTTTTAAATACTACTGGGATGGGAATCAAAATTATGCCGTTTACTATTAGCCAACATACGACTTCAGTAAACTCAAGAAAAACTATGAATTTTGGCTCAATTTGAAAATTTCTATCACTAAAATGATGATAAACGAAGCTAATCAAAGTGAAAAATGGTGAAACAAAGGCAAAAAGGTTTGCAAAGGAATGACTACTGACCTAGTTCCGCATTTATTTAAAAGATATTTCATATTCTATTTCATCATATTATTTTATTACAACTCTCATTTATTTTAAAATAGGGCATTTCTAAACGATTCATGTAGTAGTCTTCTTTATAAGAACTGATAAAAATTTCATTTATTCTTCCAATATCATTCTGATTTGCTTAACTTGCTGGCTGGCTGACTGATAAGAATTGATTCTTTCAGCATCAACATAGAATTACTTGAGGACCAAATAGATTTCGGTAAAACCTCATTAAGTGATCAATAATCAGTTTTATATTCGAAAAATGTTTGCTAGCTGTGGATTTTATTGTAATTACAATATTACTATTGGATAACTATACAGGGATAATTAAACAGGCGAAAATGATATGTCTAATTTGTGCTTTAATAAATTTATTTCTTGATTTCTTGATCTACCTAAATCATTCATTGGAAGCATTAGCCTTCAATGTAATCAAGTTGAGCGCCGCCTCAAAAAATGAATTCTTATCATATTTCCAAGTCCGAGCAAAATTCAACAAGCGAATCACTGATAAGATTAATAACACATTATCAAAAATAAATCCACAAATTTCACATTTGATCTTATTGCTTCTGAGTTATGTCGAATTTGAAGCCGATCGTTTTGCTGTTCAAAATTTGACATTTCGCCTTTCCTTCTCTATAAAATGGTTAACCAAATTTTAAAGTCTGGAAATATTTTCCGAAATGCGATTACTGCAAATATTCCTCCTCCCCGATCTTATCCATTCTTGTTGATTTAAAATGCTTCGACAGCAAACACATTTTCACCAGAAAGCATTTAAAGCGATCAAATCTACTAGAACAAATTTATCAATTCCTTTAATTTTGTAATGTGCAAATTTTTAAAAAGATGCTTTCGTAATATTTTTAATATCTTTAAGTAAAAAAAAGAGAAAATCACAAAATTTTTAGTGAAATGCAATAATTCCTACAAAACACCAAAAATTCAGAAAAAACAAAAAAATACATACCCAACAGATGCGACAACAAATAATATAATAAACTTTGCATATAAATCAGCGAGAATTCAAGAAAGCTCAAACAAAATTGAGCATTAGACGAAGAACTTTGTTATAAAAGAAGACACATAGGTGAAAATGAAAAAGGTATTTAAAAAATTACATTGGTCACATTACATATTACTGGCTTCATAATTGTTGGATTTTTCTATTGAAAAAATCACAAATCTCGATTATATAATTATTTATAGGTGATAAAATGATATTCATCGAAGCCTTTATAAATCATTATCACCTAAATCACTATATTGCTTTTTGCGATGAAAAGTTCCGCCAAAGAAAAGTAAATTTTAGCGAACTTCGAATGTCATTAAATTGAATCGAAACCAACCCGTATTCTTTTTCGACATATTTTTACATAAGTGATCGAACATTTTTATTTCTAATCTTATCCAATTTCAGAAAAACTCGAGTTGCATAAGGAAGAAAAAATCAACACAACTCTACAGCTATCAATAACTTAAAAATTCTCAGCTGTTATCCTTCATTTAAATTTATTATTTTTAAAAATCAATCAATAAAGAAATACTATGTGTAAAAAAACGCAAAAAATCGAAACTCCTCCATTTAAGAAATTAGGTACAAAAAATTGAATACGATTACACACACCGTGTGTGAATGATTCACAGCCATTTCACCACCGAGTTGAATGTTTTAGTTGAAGTCAAGCAGCATAAGTTCGACTCTGTCCACTGAAGAACTCGTTATTGAAATCCAGGCGACTGCAATGAAACAAGGAAAAGAGGTACGATTATGAAATATACATAAAATTAATCCACATTTCAAAACATAAAAATGTTACATTAATTGAAATAGATTCCATGGCAGTACAGAACTGAATTTTATAACGAAAACAAAATGAAATTAAATGGTAAAATGAGATAGAAAATACAAAGAGCATTATAGGATGAGATAGCAATTAAGAAAACAGAAATTTAAACGTAAATTATTGCCACACGTAGTTATTCCATTGCGACGCATTATATTTATTTGGAAATGGGTCGTTTTCAGGAAGTGCCCCGGTTCGTGACGAGTTTGTATCATAGGCGCGTTGAGAAGGCCAATTATTCCTAAAATTATAGTATAGAAAATTATAAATTAGAACATAAAAAAATTTATGTAAAATCAAAATCAAAGAAAGGATTAAAACTAATATTAGGTTAGTATTACCAGCTAAAAATAGCTAAATGACCACATAAAACAAATACTGCTATACAAAAAAAAACATACGAATAGCGCAAATTTAAATAATGTTGTCCAGAGGAAGGACGCGGAAGAGTGAAAAAAACTGGTGGTGGAGGAACAGAAGTATTTATATTTTGTGGAGAATGAAAATGGGATGGGGCTGCGACATCATAATCATTGCCGAATGAAGAGGATGAATTATTATTAGGCTGAAAACCCGGTCTGCATGCGTTTAATACCATTGTCAGATTATCAAATTCATTGGAAGCAGCTTGAGCAGCCTAAAAAGAAAGATATGTTGGATCAGTGAGCAATTCGATGCAATTCTTTTTCTAAAGAAAAAAATAAAAATCCTAAATTAATTTCTGCCTCACTCTTTGGCCCCCAAATCTCTGTCAACTTAATGGTCAAACAATTTTAAAAAACAATTTAAAATTCTTTACAAAGGGAACAAAAAAGGGTGAAAGAAGATATTTCGAAAATATTAAAAATGCTGACTAAGGAAAGATAAATAAATTATTATATTAAATGAAGTAAACTAAGAAATAAACTAAATTTTTTAAATGAATATAAATTTTCTTCGAATAAAATTTTTTTATGGAAATTTTTTTCATCATAAAGAAGATTTCTAAATTAAGATTTTAAGCCCATTCTCTTACCTGCTGGAATGGATTATTCATTATATGTTTTGTTTGTTGCGATCGTAATAGTGGATCACTGTTCATTAATGGATCCACCTTATAAGTTGAATTAAATGGTTCGTGATTATTGGCAAACTGCTTCGCAACCTTAAGATTAGAAAAAATTATCTGGCAAAAACTTTTTAGGATCCAAAAAATGAGATCCAAAAAAAAAATTATTTTTATATAAATATAAATATAAATTTTATATAAATATATTCAAAGTATTATCATTTCACCAAAATTGAAAAATTATAAGCAAAGAATTTTTGAAAACCTGATCTGAAAGCCATGTATTCGAATTGTTTAATATTCTACTGTGCGCAGGCGATAAATCAGAGAAGGCATTTTCTTGCGTTGAACATATTAAATCTTCGCCAAATGCATTCTGATTCCACTTCAAACTGTCAACTAAAGCCGTATTAGTTCCATTATAAAAGCCATAATTTGGCCCAGCAGCAACATCCAAAGCCTTTTCTTCTTTAGCAGCAATATCCTTCAAGAATCAATTATTTTCGAAGTCATTAAAGGATGATTAAAAAATTTTCAAAGCAAAAAAAAACAGCAGAGAGATAATATTCCATACCGAACAGATTCGAGCAGAAGGACAATTGATCCCAAAGTGCGGATCACGTGTTGTATTTGCTACTGATTGTGGAATTGATAATGACTGTAAGGGATTATGTTGAATATCTGTAGTATTCCATGCCATCTTTGCATTGGAATTATTAAATGGTTCGCAGTTACCCCAAATATTCGCAATGCGGGGATCAACACTCTCGTGATTGAAGCAAACATCGATCTAAAATCCAGTGGTTTTGATTAAAACAAATGAAAAGATTGAAATAAATACATAAAATTAATGAAATTAAGAAAATGAAGCAAAATCAAAAATCACTGGATAAATCTTCCTTCCAAGCGTATTTGAGTGAATTTCTCTCATACCCACTGAAGAATGAATGTTCATCGACATATCTTGACCAACTGGAAGTTTTTTAATAAAAATTTTGCAAATGTTTCTGCAATGACCACGCTTAGGAAGATAAAACTTACTGTTGCCGTTGACCAATAAATTCGTTTCATTGTTTAATTTGCGACTGTATTCCAGTTGCGAACCAATACTGGAAAGGGTAAGGGTAAAAAAAGGGTAATAAAAATTCAAATCCTTTGAAACAGTACATATGACCTCGTTATGCTAGTTCTTAACAGGATTCAAAATAATAAGCTAAATCCCTATGAACTTACGGTCCAATCTGCCGCATCCTTTGCATCAATCCATCAAAAGATCCATATGTCTCATTCAAAGAATGAGAAAGTCCTGAAATTACTGAATTCAGAAATCTAAGAAAAAACAACTGAAAGAAACATAATTAAAATGGATTCAAAAGAAAAATCAAAAACCTTCATCTGTAACAGCAGCGCCTGAAGCAGATGATGGTCTAACAACTGAAACTGAAACTTTCTGTATGTTTTCCGCAATATTACTGGGATCCTGAAATTATTTTTAAAGTTGAATTTCAAATTTTTACATTCTCAATTGGTATTAACTTGAACGTATGACCGACATAAGAAATACATTTTTCGAAGGATATATGTAGTTTGAAGTCCCAGAAGTTGATGAACAAAAGTGGGAATCGTCCATATTCACTACGAAATCTCTACAGATATTTTCGTCAGCATATTTCATTCGCGCTTGAGGTGATTGCTTTTGCTTCTTCTCAGATCCAATTGCACTTACAACTAAACAACATTTTAAATTCCATTAATGATTTCAAATAAGAAAATCTAAATGTTTAATCTTGACAAAGATATTACTTCAAATCAAAAAAACAATTATACCTTTCTGCCTCAATGCCTGCCTTTCTGCCCATACATTTGGCATTTCTTGAGAGGAAAGCAACTGCCCTTGATCCTGATAATTTGGTACCTAAAGCATCGAATAGTGAATAAATTCATGTGAGTGTAGAAATGAAGATTTAAAAAATTTCTTTTTTTCTATAGATGAACTAGCTATTCTTCATGTTTATTCAAATTTTTATTATTTTGTTTTTTCATACCGAGGAATAAGGCTTTTATCGGAGATAGGCGGATAAATTTTTTCTTTAATGAAAAGAAACCGAATGCAATTTTCCGTAATTACCTTCTTTCATTTTTATTTGTTTAAACCACTTATCCAACAATGCTACTATTAGTCTATCAAAGTTATTAAATATTGTTCTACCAGTGTTTTTTATACTGTAAAGTTTATAAATAGTGATAATGAAGCCGCCTTATCTTTCATCTAATAAACGACTGTAATTAGGTGAAACGACTGTCATATGAAAAAAAATTATCCTTAGACTAAGAGCATTGGCAACTGTCTTCACAGTTTTTTTTCAATAGCACTCATCTTACTGGATAGACTCGTTCCGTCGGCATAGACATTTCCAGGCAGTTGCCGATAAAAGGTTAGGCATCATCCGGATTTTTTAGGACAGATTTATTCCTACCAGGAGTAAAATTGGCGTTCTGGGCAACAACCCATTGGGCTACTCTAATTACCTTTTGCTTTTCTTTGTTAGGCGATAGAGCCACCCAACGAAGAGTGGTGCTCCGACGGATTCAAACCCATGCCTCGATCCTCGGTGGTAAATATCTTACCACTGACGCACCAGGTCATTATAGTAAAACAAAAAAAATTAGCTTTGAATTAAATTAGCTGAAAGATATGAAAGACTGTGACCGATGAAACCGATCATAGGTTGCCAATGATTCATGTATTTATGAAAAAGATAAAAATTTTGTTACTTTATAATTCTGAACACCATAGAATACCACAAGCAATATAAGCCTTTTTAATTTTTATCGCAAAAGATACACTTATATTAATTAAGCAAAAACAATTTTTTTTATATTCTCTGTTTATTGTTAACAAATATGTTCAACGCAAGAAAAAAAAATAAAAAAATGTAATCGAACATAAAAAAATACCTCGTTGGATTCTGAGGGAGGTACCTTCATCTTAGTAATAAGTGTAGCAGATGGCGATATATTTCCAGTAGTTGCAGTTGTTTTTGTACGCAACACGCTAGGTGATGACACATTTTCACAGGCTTCAACAGGTGAAGATAATGGAACACGATCAGACATCATTACACGACGAATCACATCCGTAACAGTACATTCATTATCAACGACCAAACCATTTATCATATCGATAGCTTGTCTGGTTAATAATTCAATTATGGAAATGTGATGATAAAAAACCTTAACAACCGAAAAAATACAGAGGCTTTTTTGCTCAAGTTTAAGCATTCGCATCTAAGCAACATAATTTAGGATTTTTAGATTTATTGGCGTTTACATATATGGCTATAAATAGATTCCAGAAAATAAATATGGATGGCAGAAAAATCACATTTTGCTTTAATTAATCTCTAACTGGAAATGTGCAGCTAAAACATTTTCAAACATTCATGTGTGTGGATTATAAATCTCAGCAGCAATAACAATTCCTGTGATTTCGTCATTAACAGAAACCATGTATATATATTTATCCATCTTTTCCTATTTTTTACTTGCAATTATTACAGTTATTATCCTAGCATTGGCGCTATTCGGAGAAAAATTCTCGCCAGATCCGAAAGCTTTATCAAGTTGCTGAAGAGATCTGACGTAAAACAAGCTGAAAATGCACCGACTATTTTGCAATATTCCAAGTTCAGTCAAAATAAACCTTAGAGCCGTCTCTGAGCCTTTAAGGGTGATTTGACGATCAATTTGTTCTCTTTTATTATTCTGCTTTTCTACTTCAATATACGCTCCTGTCGCTTCGCGTATTGCATTAATATTACCACCAGCTCGACCAATAACACGAGCAATTTGATTGGAAGATACCATAATTTTAGCACATCGACGACGACTCTGATTTAATCAAACAGTTATTAACTGTTAATTAACTGTTAACTATTAAACTTTGAAATAATAAAAAATTTAAAGAAACATACAGCATCGACGTTTCGCCAAGCCGACATATTATTAATTATCACTTCATCCTTATTTGATATGCTTGTCATTACAGATTTTTTCGAAGATTTTACACCCTGAAAAATTCCCAAAATTAATTCAACAAATTTAAATAAAAAATTAGAAATCAAAGAATTCAGCAAGCATCAGAGGACAAACACAAGAAAAAAAAATGCAGACCGAATTACGCCGAGAGGTAGCCTTCATCCACTCAGTATCGGTAATCGAGCAATTCCCTGTCCTCGTCGAAGACGTCTTATTTAAAGTGTTGCCCAATCTTGCTGAAACAACGAAAAATGATTTAGAATTTGAAAAATCTTAAAAAATATTTCTTTCATGATCAAGCCATTACTTATGCCACCATCGTTCCTGCTTCTGTGTCGATTCTTTATAATATTAAAATGCGCACAATTCTGCCTCATGGATAATATATTAATAGATGGCTCTTCAACTGAGTCAAAACATTGTGATGCTACATGTTCCAAAGAAGATACACGAACAATATCGTTCTTAATAAAAATACATTTATTTGGAGTAAAAAAAATTTTTAAAAAATTGATAATCAATAAATTTTTTTAATAACAATATTTAACAATTTTATCGCAATATTTAATAATTTCATAATGAAAAATGCAAAGCTTCCAGTCCCATTCAAAAAAAAAAGACTTTAATTTAATATCGATCATATTTTTCCCATAAATATATTTACTTATTATATATATATAATATATTAAATTTTTTTAAAGTAACTTACAAGTTTATTAACATCTGCATTACTTTCATTCTGAACAGAAGCCACATTTTCTCTTTCTACGTCTTCATCATCCAACTTTTCTCCCCTTGTTTCCAAAATATCCAACTAAATATAAAATTAATATATTCCATTATAATAAAGAATATTTAGTAATTTCGAATTCTTATGAGGAAATATTAGCAGAAGGAAGAATTAAAAGCTAAAAAAGAAATAAAAAGCTATTTGACAATTTTTAAGAGACCTATTAAAGTGATGAAAAAATTAAAATTCAATTTCTTCAATCATCATTCCTAAATTGAAAATACAGTGGAGCACATCTTAATTTATACTCTCTTTTTATTATATTTCAGGCATAGTGAACCTTTTTCTCGTTTTCCATAGCTTCGCTAAAACTTTCTTTATTCTGCGATTGTTGTCTGAAAAATTAATGTAGTCTTACAGGCAAATAATTTTACATAATTATCACAACAACCAACATCAAATTCCCATTAAGAATTCTGAGGGCATGCAGATTGATAATATGATTTAAAAGAAGATTGTGATTCAGTGATCAAAGGATTAAAGCACGGCCCTAAAGGTTTGATGCAAACCGGGTAGATATCAAAAGCACAACGAGATTTATCAAGGAATTCTAGTAATAGATATATTGAATAATATTAAAGCAATTCTTCAAAGTGACAATGCCAAGAGGATACTGAGTATGTTAAGAGAAATGAGGAATGTAACAAGGGTTCAAACAAGAGAAAAAGAAAAAAAACAAGAGTGATGGAAACAAAAGAAGAATACCAAGGATTTGAAATCTCTAGACGATTATTAAAGGAGTATGAATATTGCAAAGGTGGTTGGTTTTAATATTAAAAAGCCATAATGGAATTTTAAATAATTTTTAAATAAGACAAATGATCTTTAAGCATGCATAAAAAATTTTCAAAAATATGTTCAAAAATATATAGTAGGGTGGGCAAGGGGGAATAAAAAAATCAATTAATTAATAATCACATATACTCGAATAAAGCAAATTGTTTCAAAAAACCATTGAATTGCGATCGATAAAACTGCAGTGAAACTAAAGGTTTAGTCATAAAAACTGAGTTGAAAAAGTGAAAAAAAAAGAAAGAAAAATACATAGACAACAAATACTGTATGTAGGGTGTTATGAGAATATAAAATTTTTCAGATAAAACAAATAAATATAAAGAAGCTAAGTGGAGTTAAGGAAATGGAATCTAAATGAGTCTTAAAGAAATACAGCCTCAGTGAATTAAGAGACAAGACTATCAGGACGCGCTTTGATAGCGCGTCACTGCTGCCACGAGTTTGTGTCAGCGGCGGCTTAATTCAGAAAAAAAAAACGACGCACAGACAAAAATTTAATGAATAAATGAAAAGATTAAAATTTACATTTTCTTTTTGGCCTTTCTTCTTGCCTTTTTCTTTTCATTCTGCCTTTGCCTCGATAATTTTTTTGATTTAGCCATCTCTTCCTATAATCAATATCTATAATGTCTTACAACTTAAGATCGGCAGTCGGAAAGGCAACAACAATTCTTCATCTTGACCTCTTTTGCTATAAGTTGAAGTAGAGTTTCAGCAGCGCGATTGGCTTGATCTGCTTGACGATCCTTTGCAGCAACTATAACCTCAATACACTGACGACATTTGGTCAACAACTCCTTAAAGGAGGGAAAAATAAATCCTTGGCCTCCAACTTAATAAGAAGAGTAGCAACATTTGCGAACATATACATGCCAAAAAAGGTAATCAATATGATTACCACAATGTAATTATAGAATTAAAAACGATAAAAAGTCTAAAAGATACGAGGATAAAACATTTTGTACCTTGAATTTTTCATATATTCATGAAAAGCAGAAAATAAAGAAGGTGTGAACGAGGTGTGTCGAATAAATTAAAATAAATAAAAACAACTAAAAAACAAATAAATGAAGAAAAAATGAATAAAAATGAAAAAATGAACCTTATCCGAAACAGTGGTTAAAAAACGATAACAGTCCTGATCATTAGGGAATTGCTGAACATGTCGTACCATGTATTTCACAACCTACAATAAAATTTCATGGCGTTATATTAATAAACACAAATAATTAATCATTATTCATTTATATATAATATTCATATATATATATATATATATAATATAAATAATTAATCACTAATTCAACAACATGGTTAAATCATCAGTTGTAAGAACATAAAAAAGTTTTTCTGAGAAATAAACAAAGTTACTTTGAGATGTCCTTTTCTAAAAGCAATAATAAGAGGAGAAACATGACGATTATCCTCAGCTTCAACATTTGCATTATGACTGACTAGAATCTGAACCGTCTCGATATGACCGCCATGACAGGCCAACCACAAAGCAGTGCAACCCTTTTTATTACGCGCCTCAATCTGAAAATATGAGAGAATTATGGAAAATTATTTAATGACAATAATTAATTAAATAATTATTACAGTATTTTTGGTTTTTTATTTTTACAAGTTCCTTTTCGATGGCATTAAATAATTGATAATAATTTTTATAGTAATATGCACTGCTTATCTACAAGATTTCTGCTCATCTCTTTTTAAATTTTATTTAACGTTTATTGAATTCTTGGTAAAACATCTCAAACAAATTACCTTAGAAAGTTCTCTTATCGAATGGAAATTATTTAGATTAAATGAAGTAATCGAAAATTTAAAGGACCAGCTAGCCTTGGCTAATTCTAATATATTATTGCAAGAAACTGTGTATCAATTAAAAAATTCTGTTAAGACTTTAAGACAATTAAAAAGCTCTTAATAAAATAAGAAAAGATACATACTCCTTCTTGTGCATATGACATGTGACATGAAAGAATACTTCGAAAGCGAAGAGAAAGAATCTGAACCTAGTGGAGGTTAATTTTAGAAGCACTCAGACAAAAACTGAAGATGAAAATTACTGGTTGCCAAGGTTGATAGAAGCTATACTTAAAAAATCCACTGTCACGATATATAGGCAATATATATTTCGCTTGGGAAGCAAGTATTATGTGGCCCCATGGTTTGTGGGAAAAGTAGTCTAAACTCGAGAGAAAGCTATATAATGAATGAGTAAAATCAAGATAAACTAAAAAATTGAAAGAAAGTAATATTTTTTTGTTATTAATTATTGGAATAAATTACCGATATTTAACTATTAGTATAGTTTTAAAAAATAATTAAATTACTTATGATTTTATTCAGGATAAACATGATAAACTATCAGATGTGCGTAAGTTCTGATTTAATTATAATTCTTAATTATAATTTTTTTTTTCATTCTCGCCAAATCATGGGAAAAATTCAAAGTGAGAGTCGAGAAATGGATGCCACATGAACCCACCGAACGAAAGACGGGATAGTAAATAAATAAATGAAGGTAAATTTTCTTTTTAGATATAAAAGCCTTTTATTAAAGGTTGCCATTGAGGACGAGAAATGGGTTCACTACGACAATTTTAGGTGCGATTATAGAAAATCACAGGTTAAGCCAGGAAAACCAATGGTGAAATCAACTTTGATCGAGAAAAATTCTTTATATATGGTGGAATGAAATTTCTTTTATTTTTTTCACACCATGGGCTATGAAATCTGATGAATATTTTAGTCTAAATTCAAACTTTGAAGACTATAAAATAGAACAGAAACGTCCATACATATAAGAAAAAAACTCTTCTAATTCATGACAACGCCTACATATAGTAATTTAAAAGCAAAAACTCTATTTTTTCAGGTAAATACAATAATCCTTGCCCGGTCAATATTTTAAAGATTCAAACAAAGTTCAAAATTTCACCGGTACTTTTATTACAATGGAATGAATAAATTGGAAGATAAAATGGCTGATAGAAAGCGAAAAAAAATATTTTATCGAAAATATTTTATTCTGATATTTTATCGTTAAGTTCTAATTTGGCTAACAGACGCTGGAAACTTTAGCACACACTTAATATTTAATTTTCATAAGTGAGACTTCGTTTTTTCCTTTCCTTTTATCAATTTCTTATTGTGCTTAATTTTATATTGTTGCTAATATACAAGAGAATGGCTTTTGCCCTGGTTAATCTTTTGAATAAATATTTTCGAAACCTGAGCATGAGCATGAATAAGAAGCTCAACGAATTTATGATGTCCTTTGTCAGCTGCAATCGTTAATGCAGTATCACGACTCGTTGGAACAGGAGCAGTATTTGGGTCTGCACCAGCATCCAACAATAATTCCCCAACTTCCACATATCCACCATTCGCAGCTTCCATTAATGGAGTCAAACCAGTCTAAAATTAGAAATAAACTAGGTGATGAATGTGATTATGGATATTTAATATTTAATTACGAAAAATAAAAATTGATAAATGAAAATAAACGAGTACATGAAATTACTTTAGCTCTATGTTCCACATTTGCATTGTAATCTAAAAGAAGTTTAACCACTTCAGCACGTCCTTGAAAACACGCCAAAGTTAAGGCAGTATTTCGATTGGTTTCAATATAAGCATTGATATCTGATCCTCGTTCAAGTAAGACTTTTGTGGCAGCAGTATGACCATTCATTGCAGCTAACATCAAGGGTGATATTCCTAGCTAAAAAAATTTTCACTAAAAAAATTTCATATCAGTGCAATAATAATTCAATCGAAACAATTCGACATGAATTTATTCGACATGAATTCGACATGAAAATGACCTTTTTAGAAAAATTAACATACCTTTGATCCAGTTCGAGAATTGATTTCTGCACCCGCGTTCAAAAGCATATTGATAAGACCGACATAACCTCCTGAGGCTGCTAAAGATAAGGGAGTATAATCACTGACATTACGATGTTCCTTATTTGCATTTCGTTTCAAAAGTAATTCCACAACCTTAATAAAAAGATGATTAGATTGAAAATGACGTAAAACCTCTATTCGCCATTCTTTTCATGAAACTTTAACTCAATGGACAATTTGATCCACGGATATATACTTTAATAATGCTTTTATTATTTTATTCTACCATATTTTACGACGAATGTTGTTAAAAGAAGACAGAAACATTAAAAAATCACAATTTAGTATTCCTGTCTTTAAATTACAATATACAAAATAAATGGAACCTCTTTTCGACCACCAGAACAAGCTAATGACAAAGCGGTATCTTTAGTACGTTCAGATTCAGCTTCAATGTTAGCACCCACATTAAGTAAAATTTCGACAACATTCGCATGACCACTTGTTGCTGCGAGAATCAAAGCAGTAAAACCCTAAATTAAGCAGTAAATTAAGGATTATTCCTAAATGACGTATGATTCTTGGAAATAATTAAAATTCAAAAAATTTAATTTTAATATGAATAAATTACCAACCTTTTTATCCTTATGCTCAATATCTGCACCACGCGAAATAAGTAACTGAACTAACGAAGCATGACCTCCAGTTGCAGCCAGAGTTAAGGCAGTATCGTGGTTGGAATCCGTCTGCATATCGACATTAAAGGTGGCATAATCTGAATAAATATAAATAAATAAATAAAAATGGAATTTTTTCTTCATTAAGATTATAGTAATAAACACAGTTTCTGTTTATATTTTTTCATAAAATTATCGATAAAGTTTAACACAAAATACAAAAAAAGAAAAAAAAATTTACGCGATGATTCAATATATTCCTCGCTATCATCTGATTCAGAATAATATAAAGGAATATCACAACTGTGACTGCATTTTGTTGCACCATTTCCAAGCACTGCACTTTCACTTAAAGTGCGCCTTTTTCGACTGAAACTACATATATACTACAAATTTCTCAAATGTTGGTTGAAATTATTTGATAAAATAATTTTGTTAACGCAAACATTGGAATTCGATCTGCTTTGTAATAAATACTTTAATTTTTTTCATTAATTAAAAACAATAATAAATAACAGTGATAATACTTCATTATTCTTCAAAATTTCAACATATCTATATCTATATGTTGAAATTTATGAAATTTTATAAAATTTATTCGTCTTTTGACATATGACTCATATACTTCCATCCACAAGTGATCCTATGGTGAAAAAACCAAAAGAACAAGAGGGCGGTATGATGTACGTGCGATATGTAACCAAGTCTAATAAAGAGAAAAATAATAAAAATAATCAGAACCACACACGTTCTAGAATCAAGGTAATTATTGATAATCTGATAATTGATAATTACTGATAAAGATATTCTGAAGTTGAACAATGGTCAGTTGGTTCTATGCATAAACGACTAGGTTGGTTAGTTGGTTATCATGAATGGGACGTCAGAACCCTTATGGAAATTAGAATTATGAGATGGTAATCTTCCACAGTGCGTCCAAGTATCAAACATCAGAAGCCCATCTTCCTCATCTCTGGCCTCAAGAAATTATTGATTCAAAGCAACGATACTGGTTACATAATAGTGGAATTTCGGATAATTCGAGGCGAAATGATTTAATGATTGGTCATATTATTTCGAAAAGGGTCGAACAATCTTCACTGAAAAAACTATGACGGACGTCTGATAAACGAACGCATAGTTACGTTTATGTTACGTTATCTATGCTACGTTTAAAAAGTAATTCTGTCATCAGTATTTATGCCCGTAAGACTTAACTATTAACACCATTATCCCGACGTGATCATAATCATGGGGAGAAAAATAGCGCACAGACACATTAAACACTAGACTGACATGTTTGGGCCCGATAGGCTAATGGAAAACCTTCTTTGCCACATACTTTCTGCGCTTAAGAAAGTGTCTAATTAAATAGAACTCTCCGATCATTCCAACGTATCTGATATTTTAATCAGTTGCCGTTAGAATTACTACACAGCCGTTCGTAATGCTGAAATTAGTTATCATCTGAGACTAGACCAAATCGTGGTCCGATATCGAATAAAGATATTGTGCAAAAAATAACTCCAAAATCTTTCGACTAAAAAATATTGGGATAACCATATTTCAAATTAACAAAATTATCAAAGTAATTGAAAACATGTGGAGCATTTGGCCGATGAACACTGTCTCAATCCAACTAAAAACATATCATATCCACACTATGTTGTTAGAAACCCTAACTTTTCAATTCGTTGCTTCGTTGTTTATACGATTAAAGTACATATTTAGCAAAATGAAAACAGAATACTTGGTGAACTTGACGGAAGAAGGAAATTCAGCTGTTAAATTCTGCATTAAACTAATACTTGGAGATGGTCGTCTTCGAGTTGGAATGGTAAAAACTGAAACTGGCAAACACAATTATCAAAATAAAATCATATATTTGATAACTTAATGAAAATTTCGTATAGAAAAATAACAATGAAAAAATCATCGAAGGATATGTGGAAAAAAATATATATTTAAAAATATAAAAAAATATATTTAAATAGATTTAAAATGCTAATTACTTAAAATATATTTGAAATGTACATTAAAATTTAAAATTTAAAGTCTTAAAATTTTAATTAAGTTAAAAATACTAGAATACTATACGATAAAGCAAAAAGAAAAAATGATTATTAACGATATGATATTGAATGCAGAAATGTATGGAAGGTCATATAAGTTATGATGTGCCGAATAAGAATTTCTTCTAAAGCATGTGTTATATGTTTAAGATTCTTTTGGTTTGACTGGCTTCACTTCTCGGGTGAGATCTTTTCGTTATGGAGTTATGAGAGCATTAGATGCATAATATCCTTAGATTCATAAAAAATAACACTCTAACATAATTACCTGATTTCTTGCGTGCCATTTGCCTGATATGACTACATACGGATTTTCCATTTTTAACGGAAGCCAGTTTCTCCCCATTAATATTGGACGTTTTTGGAATTTTTTTAGAGGGTTTCAAATTAGAATTGTTTCTTTTGCAATCCTAAATTGGAATAAACAATTATTTCAAAAGTCTTATTAGTATGGTCATTTTCATTATAAATATAGACAATAATAATTACCGTTGCAATGTTTTTTTTTATAACAGTATCTGACTGATTTTTCTTGCTAATATCGTTAGCATTAACTGAAGAAGATATAGCAGTCTTTTCGCAAAATGCAGTGGAAGGTGGAGAAGATGAAAGGTCCACGACAGGTTTGAAATAAGATAAATCTAAAATGACTAGTACGCGATGTATTGGATAATAACGAATAAAAAATTTTAGGAATGCATAAGACTGCATTAAAAAATTAAACCTGTAATGTGCTGAGGATCATTTGATCCTTGAATAGATGAAGTGTCGTTTTGCTTTCCAGTCAAAATATTGAACTGTTGTTTGACTAGCTCAATGAACTGTAACTGTGTTTTCATGTCCGAAAATGCACCCAAAGTGCTACGTAAAGCTTTCTCAGTCAACTGAGCGAATAAAACATCACTTGGTTGCTGTAATATTTTCATTTTAACCAATTTTGAAACTTAATCATAGAAAAAGAGAAAGTGAAAATTCACCAGAAAAAAAAAGAATATGTGATAAATTTCAAGAAAGTAAGACGAGAAAGCCAACTCCATTTGAATCAAAATGAATGAATAAAAATATTAACCGAACTACATTGTGCAGCTGCAGCAGCCATATTTGCAACGAGACTTTTAAATTCATCTTTTGACAACTGTTTATTGTACTGGGTGAGAAAATTTGTTGAAGCATTGGACAAACTCTGTGCAATGTAAGTGATGGTACGAATTTGAGAATCTATATTGAAGGATTCTTTTGTTGAATGGTCATTATCAACAAACGATTTTTCACAATCTAAGACTGGTTGATGGCTTTCTGGATTATTAGAACAAACCGTATCCATGCTAGCGATTGATACAGCATCTGTGTTTGTGCCTTTCGATGTTAAACGAGGTGATAACTACAAAAAACCTATCATAAAAATTAATTTAAAAAATCTACCATAAAATATAAAAAAAACCGACAGATAATACTGAATTTCAAATTTAGTCTGTGCTTTAAAATTTTTATTTTTTTGAAATAATAGTGAAACCATTGTAATCAGTCGCAGATATATTTTTTCGAACTTTATTAATTATCAACGATGATAAAAGGTTTAACAATAAATAACCTTTTTTGACCGTTTCTTATGCATAATAGTAGATGCTTTTTTAAAATACGGTCGTAATTGCGAGTTTCCATGCCAATTTAATAAAGTTTCGACGATTCTAGTATGACCATTGCGAGATGCTTCGATTACACAAGTCGTACCATCCTAATCATCAATTATTAAAAAAAAATTCATTCTTTTTTTAACACAGACATAAAAATGAAAACAACCTTAAGTACTAGACAGGGGTCAGCTCCATGATCCAGTAGAAGCCTCACAATTTCCCAGTAACCTCCAGCGCAAGCTAACGATAAAGCAGTTGCCTCATTATTTTTTGAAATTTTATTAACCTACAAGAAAATTAATAGCTTCAAGCTATAAAAGATATAAAATTCATTTTTTAAATGTGATATATGATTATATGATCAAAATATGCCTTGCTTAATATTTGTGTCGCCAAATGGCAAAAAAACTGCAAATATGGGCAAATCATCCGAATCGCACTTGCTATACTGGGCTTTTACAAATTTTTATGGTCGGTTTTATTTACTATATTATTTTTCTTTGTAATAGGACAACAATTTCGTTTTGTATATATTTGCATAGATACTAATAAACAGTTTAATTACTCAGGTTTGAGGGTTCGCAGCGAGCTAATCATTAAGAGAACGCTGGCCGCAGAACTTACAATATTGTTGAGAAATAAAAGTCACACGTGGCAGGAAATTCGTTAAAGATTCTATAAGAAAACATAGTGAAGCAGATTCCCAAAAGAATTTTTGGGAAATTAGATATAAATTAGAAACGGGAATCGCCCTGCTTCCACACAATATTTCGTATTGCCAAGTTTTCTGTACAATTTGTACATTATTGCATAATGCATTATTCAATGACTAAGATAAGCAAATTCATTTTCATTTTTATTTCAATTTTTATTCTGTTATTCTAATTTCATTCCATAAAATTAGAACCTGAGCTCCTCTCATAATGAGAAATTGCACAACACCATAATTTCCATTTTTCGCTGCTTTCATTAAAGCTGTTTGACCACCCGACGCCTCATGATCCTGAAAATTGAATTTAAAAGATGACGTCGAAAGCAATAAATTGATTAAATAAATCAACGAAATACTAATAATAGGTATAACAATAATAATACTAAGAATACTAATAAAAATAATAATAATAGGTGATATATTTTAAGCTAGTAAGCAACAGGCTATCTTGAAAAAATATGCTGAATACGAACCACTTTTGCTCCGAGCTCAATTAATAAGGCACAAATATCCAAATGTCCACTTTCTGCAGCATATGTCAAAGCAGTTTCATTGGCTGCAGTTGTCGCATCGATCTAAATTAAGAAAGATTAACACAAAGAAATTTTTCAATCAAATAAAAATTGCTCATTAGCTGAATAAAGAATTAAAAATTGAAAAAATTGAAAAGAAATAATTGGAAAAACCAACCGGTAATCCCTTACGCCGAATTCCCTCATCTATAAGGTATTTCGCAATTTCAAGATGACCTTCTTGACATGCTTCCATCAAAGGAGTATTTGAACCAATATTCAAATCTGCTCCTCTTTTCAAAAGAAGCTCAACTACTGGCCTAAAAAACAAACAATTAAAGAATAAAATTTTTTTGAGCAACAATAATCAGTTTTAAAAAAGAAGTAATTTAGTGAAAAGAAAGGTATTCTACTTGGATCCAGCACAAGTTGCTAATGTTAAAGCAGTTTCACCGCTTTCTTCAGTCTGAGCATTGATTTGGGCGCCTTTGTCTAATAAAATTTCAACACAATCCTAAAACTAGCAAATGAGAGGAAAGAAAAATGAAAAAAGAACAAAAAGATTTTAATGAAATACGCAATTTAAATATCTCGAACGATTGGTTTCATCACTGCGTTCCTACAGACGATATTTAGTCGATATTTTCGATTTTTACCATTTCATAAATTAGAGGTTCATAATTTTTTATATAATGGCATTTTTCAATGCATAGCATCGCAATATAACATGGAAATATCTATGATAATAATAGTTGATATTAGCCTTGATAATTCAACAAATTTCAATAAAAAATCAACGAAAAGTAAATGATGCAAATCCATATTCAAGAACCCAGAGTCTCATATCAACAGTCGTTGATTTACGCATAATCATAGTTAAAAGAAATTTCAATAAAGAACCAACCAGATGTCCCTCACGACACGATTCCATTAAAGGCGTGTAACCCTCATCGTTTGGTTCTTCTATATCTGCACCATGGTCCAACAATAAATTTATCTAAATTTAAAACGTAGTATATATAAAATATCGATTTAACATTTTGAAAAAATTCATGACTGTACTGAAGCACTAAACAAAAAACTAAATATTATTGTAATAATGTATTATTAATATGATTATAATTAAATTAATTAAATTAATATATAGTATATTACATAGGTTTTCTGTACTTTAACATTTTTACATAATTTTGATGCAATTTCACCGTTTATTTATTTATCATACATTAATCCTATTTCTTAATCTTCGCTAATAATGAAACAAGAATAAAAACAGCCCAAATACAACTAAATGATTACCAATTCTGGATGTCCACCTGATGCTGCAAGAGTCAATGGACTCTCGAATGATTCGGAAACCATACTCACTGGTGCACCATTATCAAGAAGAAGTTTTGCCACTTCTAGCTGCCCATCCATTGACGCTTCCATAAGTGCCGTATGCAATTCCTCAGGACGTTGATTCGCACCATTTTTCAATAAATACCTGACAACATCACTATGGCCTTTGAATGATGCTAATGTGAGAGGCGATTCCTGCAAAATGATATAAGTCCTCTAAAAAATGGAACTGCAGTTATTTTCATATAAATACATTCGAAATAAAACGGGTATTTTCAGAATGATTAATAGAAATTCGCAAATAAAAAAAGATCTATGCATCTTTAAAAATGGTGAATGGTAATAAGAAAATAGAATAAAAAATTAAACCATTTAGCAATAAAAATTTAAATATGATTTCAAAAAAGAAGATACCACGCCAACTTTAAAATCGCACTGTAAAGTTTTTGCAGTAGGTGATGCACCAGCTTTAACCAAAAGATGAACAATATCAGCATATCCTAGAAAAAAATATAAAAATGAAAAAACTTTACCAATTGATCAAAAAACTTCCTCTCAATTTAAATAATTTAAAAATAAAAAATTTAAAAATAAAAATAAATTTCAATTTTAAAAAAATTTTGAAAAGAAAATAATAATAATTGTAATAAAAATAATAATAATTTACATATAAATAATTGAATAATAAATAATGAATAAAATGCTAGTACAAAAAAAATATTAACCGGAACTTGCCGCAACCATTAAAGCACAATGTCCATTTGAATTTTGCATGGTAATATCACAATTATAAGCCAATAATACGCTAACACACTTCAAAATCAATAGTAAATTATTATTATAAAATTATTTATTAAATAAAATAAAATTATTTGGTTTATCAAATTTGTAGATATGTATTCATAAAAATATAAAAATCTTATACATAATTTATGATTCACATATGAAACTGTTTAATAAATTATCTACAAGATTTCAGAGAAAAACCTCCAATTATAGAAAAAAATTTGATATAATCATAAATACATACCTGTAAATGACCACCACCACAAGCATAAGTCAAAGCTGTATTTTGTGTAGAACTAACTGCATTTATATCAGCGCCCTGATCTAATAAAAACTTCACTATTTCGGCATGACCTGAACAAATTTTATGATTTTTCTATTTTGCTACCATTTCGTATTTGATTTACAAAAAAGTTGATAAAATTCATATATAAAACATACCACCGCAAGACGCCTCCATTAGAGGAGTATAATCAGCGCGTAAATTAGTGAAATTTGGACTCCCTTTCAAATGTACTAATTGCTTTGCCAGTTCTACATACTAAAATTAAAGAACAATAAAATAAAAAATAAAAATAAATAAAAAAATAAAAAAAATAAAAAATCGTAAAAAAATCGTAACAACAGTGTATATGCATATATTCTGTGAATATTATTGAGTATAAAAGATTACCTTTAAATTGTTATATATAATTATTATAAGAAAACGTATAATTATTATAAATACTTAAATAAGAATATTATAATATTATTAAGGTCTTATTAAGGTCTTCTCTTTTTTGAGATGTAAATACAAACCCCAGCAGAGCAAGCAAGACTAAGCAGCGAATCGCCATTGTTCGATGTAAAATCATCGCAAAAATTTAAATCTACAAAAGATGATTCATTCGTTAAATCTGGATCGCCAGAAGCCGGATCATGTGATGCTGCCATAATACTTTCAATAGTACGAGTTGCAGGTCGACGCACTGTTGCAAAAGAAAAAACATTTAATGCTGCAGCCGCTATCTAAATAAATTGTTAATAAAAAATTTAAAAAGAATTGAAATAAATGAAATTATGGGACAACGTACATTTGGAGTGATCAAATTAAGAGGGCATAGATCTTCATCATCCAAATCATCCACTAATTCATCAATGATAGGAATATTTCGCAAGGTTTCGACAGCATCATCAAGGAAACCAGAACGAGTCAGTGACATTAATGTCTAAAAAATAGATAAAATTTGAATCCAAATGGTTGAAAGTGATACTTGATTTACTTGATTTTACTTTCATCGAGAAATTTATTAAATAAATGAGTAAATGCTATATAAAAATTTTTCTTAAATAAGAAACTGATTTTTTTCCGAATATTTTAACTCATAAGTGAAAAAAAGCCGAGAAAAAAGGTAATACATCTGCATCGTCGAAACAAAAAGTAGTGCTACATTGACTACCAGTCGAACAAGTATTCCTTTCGTTTTCATCAATAAACAATTTTTCTTTAGAATCATTTAATGTTGGCACAATATTACCGCTACATTTCTCATATGAAGATGATAGTTCATTGGCAGTTGTAGCGGCTATCCACTAAAATAATTGAATTTATCAATAATTGAATAATTGAGTAATTGAATAATTGAATTTATTTTATCAAATAATTAAACTTAATCTAATTCAACAATAAAATAAAAATAATTCTAAAATAATTTCAGAGATAGAATGAACGACCTGAGAGAATGGAAATTTTCTTACCGTCTATTCTCAGTAAGGGTAAACTCGTCTTTCAAAAATGAGGGTAATACTGGCGAGCCATTTGTGCTTACCAGGTGACTCGCCAGAAAATTCAATCTCACTCGATAAGCCAACAGAGTTCTAATCAGAAATGGTGAACGCACTCAGGAAAAAAAATACTAATAAAAGTATATATATATATATATATATATATATATGATAGAAATCTATTATTAGTATTAATGCTTCAAGAATTAAATAGTTTGCTATAAAAATGAAGTAATAAAAACAAGCAATAATAGAGAAGTTAAATGAGCAAAGAAAAGCATACCTTTTGAAGAGAGACCGCTGCATAAGCTCCAGCTGCTTCGATAGCATCACATAATGTCTCTTGTTCACTGCAGTCTTTATTTGATATATCAGGCAAAAGGGATAGAAAAGGTCGAAGACGTGCTGCAAAATAAAATAAAAAAATTTATAGGTGAATTCTAAGGTTTAAAACCAATAAATATGCGACCCTAAAACCATTAACTTAACTTTTTAGATTACGAAATCAAAACAAATGAAAATAAGTAAGTTTATGGAGACTGTTTACTGGAAGTATCGTATATTCAGGACAATGGGAAAATAGAAAATAAAGAAAAGTGTAAACAAAAGTTTTACCAATTATACGACGTCTATCACAGTTTTTCATTGAACGTGTTTTACTGCAGAGATGAGAGGCATTGCAACAATTCGACTTCTGGGTTATGAAATGTTTTCTTTCAAATAAAATAGTGAAAATATAAAATTAGCAACAATCACAAACTTTTTCTCTTATCCTCTCTCTAATTCTCCCCTCTCCTTGTTTTCCCCAACCTCCATACAAAAAATTAGTCTAAAACGTTCAGATGATCCTACAGCCTGTCTATGCAGAGTCAACGAGGTTCAAAAATCGATATTGACAAATGTTTACTGTAAATTATCAAACAGAAATAAGGTTATTTAAAATGAAAAATTAAAAATTATATTTCTAAAATAAAACCAAAAGATCTTAAACAATTTTCACAAAACTATGGAAGATTATAAGGAAATTAACGACAATAAATTTCAATTATATTAAATATTTTAAATTAATTAAAGAAACAACCTCGAGTTCCGAAGACGACTGAGGAGACAGTGAAATATTTTCAGTCATTTATGCGAAAGGCGACACCTGAAACACCTCCGTTAAGCATTATTATTCTGATAATGAAAAATGAAGCATAAATAACAGAACTTAAACGATAATTTTTTTTAGTTCTTCAGCAATTTTAAATTTAAATTAAAATAATAGTTGTAATATTTCTTCCTTTATTTTTCTTTTCATTCCTTTTTTCTTCTCTACTCTTTAATATTTCCTTACAAAAAATGAGAGGCAATTTTGAACAGTAATGAGCAAAAGTAATTTTACTCAAAGAAAATTCAGTTTCTCATCAAGCAAGCGAAAAAAAATTATGAAAATTTACAAGAAACTTTCTTAATTCTAAATTTTAAATTTTTAATCCCGTAAATTCCAATTTTATGCTCAAAACAATTTTATTTTAGAATAAAAAATAAATGAATTTGCTGTTAGAGTAAAAAATTTTCCATTAATATAATTTATAATTCAAAGAAATGAATAAAAAAAATTAATGAATCAAAAAATAACTAAAAAAAACACAAATAAGCGGACAAATTTTAATATTGCAAATATGAATTAAACGAAATTTTTCATCTCTTCTCCTTAATTATTTCCTTTCCTCTTTGATCCTTTCCTTTCCTTCCTTTCATTCCATTCCTTTCCTATCAGAATGATCAACCTTCATACCCAAGCTAATTGAAAATTCCACCCACAACAAACCCCATACACGATTTCACAAACAGACCTTGTTTCCATATAATTTTCCAAAATGAAAATGAAGATGCTACAGTAATATGATGGTCAGATATTCGTTTCAAGAGTTAAAAATTCAAACTACGTTTCCTACAATCTTCCTCGAAACTCTGTTATTTTCCATTAATACATATCCACCAAATGCTCTTTGGCAATACATTAGTATATCCACAAATCTTCATATTCTTTTAGTCTCGCAAATACCATTATAATTTATCAGTTATCAGTTATCAGTCACTCTAGAAAATCCTCCTAATCTCCTCTTCAATTTCTTCTTTTTTACTTCCTTCAATATCAACATGAGAACTCTAATCTTTTCTTTTGTATTGGACCTGTAGCAATAATGCAAAAACGAATTTGAAAACTCAAACATGGCTGATCAAATTCGCTCACAAAAAAGATATAATTTATCTCACTGTACATAATTCTATTAAAATGCTCTGAAAAATGACTGATTATAATAGATATCAAAAAGCTATCCATCTATTTTTGACCTGAAGTAAATATTTTAAGCGGATAGTTTCCCACATAATCGAAATCAATTTCGCATTAACACTAGCGGTTCGATCGCTTACGCTGATTAAATTCGAGCTTATCACTGATTCGAGCTCAATTCGAGCTTATCACTACTATATGCCATATCTTATGATGGATGCTTTAAAACCGACTAGGACATGAATTGATCAATATGATTGATATGATTGATATGGTCTGAAAGGATTATGGACGTTCAACGACTGAATTAGAGACAAAAAAAAGTCACTAAATAAATAAAAAAATAACGAAAAAACTCGGAAGAAATCCGAAATAAGCTTTGCATTGCATGAATTCAAATCAAAATTGCAAATTTAAATGTTGCCGGATACAAATCAAAAATGATAAACTGATGAATGAAGAATGATAAATAATAAAATGATAAAAATGATAAAAAGAAACTCGTAAATAATTTCATTCATGTACAAATACTACTGAAAAGCTTTCATAGTGTGTTTGGCTATCACTAATTACAGTACAATTCTTGATTTCCTATAATTTAATTTTAAAAAAAAAGCCTTTGGCTAACAATCATTAAATTCGCAAATATTAATGATTCCTTTAGAATGTACGAAATAAAAATTTATTAAAAATTTCTAAATCTGAGAAATATTGGAAATTTATGAAAAATATTCTTATGTATTATATGAAAAATATTATTATATATTATATTATATATTATATATATTATTATATTATTATATATATATTATATTATTATATATTATGTATTATATATTATTATATTATTTATATATTATATATTATATTATTTATGGATTGTTCCAAACATTTGTATTGATAATGTTGTCATAAAATCGCCTTCGCTGGTTAGGGAACGTTCTCCGTCATCCACCACAAGAGTTGGCGCATATTTCGTTACTTGCTAAACCATGTGATGGATGGCGTCAAAAGCGAGGTGGGCCAATCAAGACCTGGACTGATACAGTCAAGAAAAATTTTGAATGTAAAACAGGACCAATGATATATGGACGATGCAAAAATGAATGGCTTCTACTAGTGATGGTGTCGGGCAGAGCAGCCTGGAGACTCTTGTAGCCAGCGGAGACTAACCAGTAATGGTGAAAGCTGTTAAAAAAAGAAGAATATTATTTTATGGAATATTTGTAGAAAATTTTAAAATCTCCTTCAGAATTTTTTAGATTTTATTTTGATTTTTTTAGGAATCATCAGGCAAATTCCTGTCTTCAGAATGGATCCCCAGAGGGGAGATTCGCGTTCTTTTTTTATCAATGAAAGAAATTTATTTTATTTTTATATTTCGCCAAAAAGAAAATTTTCAGGAGATTTATTTTCAATTATTTTATAATTAATTAATGAATTATGAATTTAAATTTCGAATTTTATCATTATTTAATGAATAATAAAGAATTCTT